ATTATCCAAAATTCTGTTATTCAATCAAATCTTAATAATTCATATATAATTTCTTATTATATTTATAACAACCTAAATAATCAATCAAAAACAATATTTTTTTCACTATAAAATAATTTTCGCAATTACCAGCATCAACAAATATTAATTTCAAAAATAAATTCATTTCTATATAATTTAAATATATCATTATATTCATAAAAATCATAAAATTAAAGATATGTTCCGACAAATTTATATTATATTTCGAATAGTTCAAAATTCAAAATCATATTAATTCCAATATCAATATATTAATATATTGCAAATTCAAGGATAATTATAAGAATTTTAAATATTTCATAGTTTCAATATGAGGAAAAATTCATATCATCCACGCATATAACAAAAAAGAATCAAATTCCACGAATTTCAAAATTTTCTATTCAGAATTAACATAAATTTAAGACAATTTTTTTCCCAAAGCTTACCAATAATCACAAAACCCGTATATTTTCGTAATTTATTATCGATAAGCCACCGATATATACCTTATCCAATTCTTTTAAACAAATATCCGAATTCATATACAAATATATATATATACATATACATATATAAAATAAATTTAGTAACTACCCGTCGATATGAAAATACAGTTTAAAGAAGTCTTCTGTGTCATCTTCTATATGTAGGTATATATTCGATACACAACGTCCAACCACCAAATTTCTCTCAAAGACAAATGCCTATCCGTCAGGTGGTTCGATCCTATCAGAATATATACAGCGACAATCAGTATCTGTCTGAAATGATAGCTAAATCATTCATCTATTAATTCGAAATATTTCGGATGATATAGAACGAAATTCAATACAGGGATAGGCCCCAAAAGCCGTATGCAACTCTATTTCGCTTGCCACTGGCCATTCTCATCGAGCTGTCAGTGGAGCCCTTGCAGCGGCCAACATTGTAGCTTCGTCGGCCCTTTCCAGCAAAGACCTTCATCGAGACGGGTCGCATGCAGCTATCAGTGCAATGCTGTAGCAGGTTCCAAGACGGTTGGAACAAGATTTGTCTTCGGGCTGCCGTTTCAACCGCGAAGAGGTTCAGCTAAAAGCGTATGACATGATGGCAGGCAGGTGTGTGGAGGCCGACGACTATTCAAGACACTTTGACCTGGCAAACTATCTGCACATCTGTCTTGAGACAAGCCGAGGTTGAACCCTGCATTTGCTGTCGCTGCCTGAAGCGATCAATTTCTCGCGGGGTGGCGCTCCCACATTTCCAAGCAGGTCCCGCCTTAGTTTTACAACCGGTCTACAACTTGCTGCCAATGCCTCTTCCTGTTCTAGCTGGCAGGCTGAGATCTGTCTGTGCATACATATGCTACACTACACTATTACTATGCACAGCTGCTATTTCGGCTAAAATCAGTGCACATACCATTGTAGATGCCTTTGCCATAATCCGAAGCATTGCTGCGTTTACACAAAAAAGGCGCTGTTCGGAAAACTTGTGTGGTCATGAATCCCAGCGGGCGGTTTTTGCAAATCTGGCTCATGCGCCGAACAGACCGAACAGGATCTTGTAGAAGCCTCGAGGAAGCGATCCAACGGGACTGGCCCATCCTGGCAAGGATAGTTAGCCGATCTCGGCAAAGTCTCAACAACATGAATCTAGACCTGACTGCCCCATCTTCTCTAGCAGCAGGCACAAAATATTGCGAAACCATTACATGTCTGAGCATCCATACCCCATCCTGGTGCCACTTTGGCTTCAGCTCGAGGTAGTCATGCATCCGCCATATCCGCAGAAAGGCGGTGTCAGCCTGGTCAAAAGAGGAGCACGGTGCAGGCCGGCCGCGCAGACTGCAGAGAGGTTGTATGCCTCGTCCAACAGCGTTTCAACCTCAGTCCGCTCCGGCTGACAACTGATTCTCAGGTGAGCTGGATATGCATCGTGCGTTGTCCGTGAAAAGTAAGAGCACCACGAGAAAATTCGATGCAGGCGATGGCCACGTCTGTGCAAAGCGCGGAAGGTCGAGCCTCAGCTGCCGGCTGGAAACCGAGGGCTCTGGGTGGCTTACCCGACATCTGTGGACAATTGGGTCCAGACGCAGCAGCCCAGCAAAGCAATGAAAATCCGGGCAGCACCAGAAGGCGCAGGCGCTCATGCCCTGTCAATTTGGTACTGCAACTTGCCGACACGCACTCCCTGACTGCAGAGATTTTCTGGTTCAAGGGACAAGAGAAATCCGTGCCGCACCTTCATCACGAGCTGCCTTCATCTTGGCAAGCCTCCAGAAACCAAACAGGCGACCGCCAATTCCCGACTCCCATGCACAGGCACATCCTCCTCCACCGCAGGCATGGCTCCAGGCTCAGGCGCAACCTCGGACAGGCCATGCCTGCGACTTTGCTCATTAAAGGCAACAGCTTTCAGACTCTGTAGGTAAAGCGGTCATACAAGCTCCAATCTGCAAAGATCCTCGCTGAGCCAAGCCGTCTCCATTCATCTCGGCCCGTGGCAAAGGGGCCAGGCGATTCACGGCCTGTCTCAAGAGCCCCAGACATCCCAGACTGTCGGGACTGCTTGGACGCAGGCCATCGCACCAGGCAGAAGCCTAACTTCCCTTAGAACCGCTCATGATCATGACAAGAAGCCCAGCACGGCCTTCGTGTCTGCCAGCTTCATCGCTGCCTGTTTTGGCCTCGAGAGGACAGCCTGCCAGGTGGCCTCCGGAACATGCGGAGCAGGGTCGAGCTTCACCTTACTCTCTGCTTTTAGTTTGTGGCCGTCCTTCCAGGCCTCCGTCAACTGGCCTTTCGGGAGGAGGCCGAAGGTCTCCGTACACTCCGCCACGTCCAGAAGCCGTGCCCAGCTAGCTCCTGCGTACGGATACCGATGCCTGTGTGCCTGCGGGCCCTGAACCGCTGAAACTTCTGAGGTCTTTTGGAGCCGGAGCTTGAGAGGCTGAGTTTTCGAGCATTGTGTGTATCCGACCTGAACTGGTCGCTGATATGGTGAAACAGCAGACCAGAACCAACTGGCCGCCAAAGCTTTGCAGCCTTGCATATGGGGCGAGCAGTAAAAGCTTATTTGCGAGAAGCGGCCTCGCCAAGGAGCCGGATGCCAGCCAGAGGTGGCTTTTCGGCGACGCTGTGGAAGAACTCGGCCTCATTGCGAAGACCGAAGTGGTAGGCGTGGCGTGGGAAGTCTGAGAAGTCTTGCCTGCAAGGATTTGCAAAGCTCCTGCCGATCTCGAGGCAGCCATTATAGAAATAAGTCACCATGAGCATCTGGACAAACTTCAGAATCGGGCTTCCAATGTCGTGGGAGATGAGACACGCCCCCGTGGACATGCCAGAATCAACAGCCATCAAAATCGTTAGAAAGTGTACCAATTGGGAAAGGAGCTGCATGTATTTGAACGGCAGCTGGCAGCCAAGAAGGGTGAGGAGACCCCCGGCACTACCACGAGCCTGAAGCACCTGGAGCAAGACCGAAACCTCAAACCCTAAACTACTAAACTCTCCACCCCTATACCCTAACCCTCAAAATCAGGGCTCATGTTCCCAACACTTTGGGAGCAGCGGCTGCCTTGTCCAAGAAAAGCCGCAGTGTGATGTCCGAGAGGTGTCCCTGCTTTTGGAGTTCTCTGAAAATCCATCCGACCCAGGTCCAAACGGCCATGCCTTTCGAAGTACATTAGATGATATTGCTAGTGTAGTGCAATATGATATGTTACATTGTATTACGTTATGTCACACAGCATCATACTAGAAAATGTTAAACTACATTATGTTATATTTATATTGTATTGTATTACCCTATGTCATACTACACTATGGCATGTGATATAATATAGCACAGAATGGCATAGTGTGATCTACTGTTTTATCTTGTCTGCTCTTACTTTAACTTTCAATATACTATATTAGATTGTCTTATGTTGTATTATATTGTGTTAGTTACAATGCTTTGTGGTTTAATTCTTGGAATCTGCTTTAAATTATGTTATGTTTTACTGTATCAAATCGAAATGTATTATACTACATTAAATTACATGTTGCATTATTTGCCACGTTATATATGTTATATTCTTATACTATATGAAATGTGATGTTGCACCGTATGTTGTTTTATGTTATATTGTATACTGTATTTTGAAATGTCATATTTTATCACAAAAATGTTATATGATGTTGTACTGTATTACATTTGATTTTCATATTTCATCATATTTGCTTAGATGATATTAAGTTAGATGAGATTTGGTTAGATGAAGTAAGGTTAGATGAGATTAGAGCATTTTATGTTATTGTTGTTATTGTTGTATTTTTTGTACTATATTATTTTGTGGTACTATTGCTATGGCTGTTACTATTAACGATGCTGGTATTTCTCTACTATTTCAGAATATTTACGATAGCACATCAGTATTATCGGCCTTTCGATGGGTTTCCGGCCAGGCAGGCGGCTTCGTCAGACGTGAGGAGATGCCTCTGCATCAGGGCGTCCAGATCTTCGTCCTGGTCCTCGTTTTCCATAAAAGTCAACTCAAAAGAGATCAAGCCATAGCGCAAAATCAGAGTGCGCAACTTTCGCCATTCTGGACCAGGAAAGAATGACCCGGTCAGGACACACAGGTCATTCACTGCCCCCCACATTCCTCCAATTCCATCACTTCGCATGCTCCACCATCTCGTCATAACGGTGGAGATGTAGAAGCCCAGGAGGACTCCGATCAAGGAAGTCAGGAAAGAGCACATCTTGTCTGCATCTTCAAGCCAGTTACGCTGCATGGGCTCTACGTCTGTAAATGCGCGCAGCCCGATGTGGATAAAGCCAGTCAGCGCCGCGACCAGCACGCAGACTCGCATGTGGTGCAGAATCTGTGTGTTGGCCAAGAGAGTGTGTTTGAACATGAAAATAACAGTGAACGACAGAGAGCGGTTTGCATTGTATTTCAACATGTGCCCGCCCGGAGCGTGGGTAAAAATTTCATCCAAGTCGCAGTGAGGGAAAATCACTGTGTTTCCCAGGAAGCCTTCCTCTTCCCTTTCCGTCCGATCCACAGACTCCCGGTGCTCGCAGTTGAGATGCTGGCGAAATGCGCACTGGTCCTCTTCCCGTCGCGCTTCGTGGGCGCGAGCGGCCCGAATGCCACAATGAAGCAAAACCAGTGTGCCCAGATAGATTCCTCCGAGCCACCAGATACGCTCAAGTTCGAGATGCACAGGTTGACCCATCTTCACGGCTCAGCGTCGGTGGGTCACAAACCATGTTGGTAGCTTTATTTTTCCTTCCTGCCTTCCATGGTATGTGGAATTTCTGTGCTCCAATATCGTGTGGGTGATCCCTGCCTTCTGCTGCTCACTGCTGATTCGGTAGAAACCTTTGGTGGTACGGTCTCATGAGAGCCAAGACCTTGCAAAGTCTCTCGTGACAAGATGTGAAACCCCGGGGCAACGTGAAAAAAGTCTAAACCTGTACCGAACTCACCAACAGCAGAAGTAGAGTTTGGGCAGGGCTCCCAGAATTTGAAGCGGCAAGAAGTGGAACATCTAGGGACACTGCATCACCCGGTGGTATGCTCAATACCCGAGGCAGGCGATTCCTGGCAGGCACTGCGGCATCTCTTTACTCACCGAGCGGGCCCCAGTTTTCAGGACCAAGGCCAAGCAGCAGCAGCAGCTTTTGCAGCTTTGTACAAAGAGGTTACCGAGACGACTCACAACTTCCTGCCGCGGTAGTCCTCACAGGGCACCTGAGCTGCTCTCTGCTCTCGGCCGGTGGCCTCCTTTCTGCGAGGAAGACGTGCGTCGTGCTGTCTGCACCTGGCCTGGCCGTGCCTTCCAATAGGCAGCCATCCCAGCAGCAATGACCGGGCACCAGATGCAAGCCGTGGCAGGTGGGATCCTGGACAAGGCAGGCAGCTCAGACTACCCCAAATCCGATCCACGCAGCTTCCACTAGGCTTCCCTCGCCCTTAGTGCCCCCGCGCTGCGACAAATGGGGTGCCAACTTACGTGAATCTTTGCAGCCGCAGCTCTGAACTGCTGCGGATTCAAAGTGTGTCGCCGCGAGCATGCAAGCGAAGACATGGTTCTTCATGGCCTCGCAACTTTGCGACGCGTGTTTGGTCGTAGAGTCGCCAAACCTAGCGGTCGTTGGACGTAGAATCTTAGAATGGCTAAGGGGGGTTTGCCATTCGTGCCCTATGAACCTATGGGGTTATAAGCTTCCGGCAATCTCGATAGCCACTGTGCGACGCTCGCGCTCGTCTGATCCTGACAGCGCCGCCAGGAAGTAGCCTCGCCAAGAACACTGCGTGAAGCATCGGAGGGACGCTGAGTTTAGGCCATCGCGCATCACAGCCTCTGTCTGACCACATGCCATGCAGGGCTGGCCTAGAACACCTGCAATCGCATGAAATGCGACTGCAGCAATGTGGAGCGATAGGCCCGCAGCGAGGATGGACTTGGCATTGCCTGCAGCAGACGCGGATCCAGCAGAGTTCCAGAACTTCGCAAAATCCACGAAGTCCCCCAGGAAGCGCGTCCCGCCCACAGCTGCGCCTGCGAGGACTCCTCCAATCAAAGGCAGGGCGGAGCCCAGCCCGAGACTTGGCACCAACGGCTCCTGGCAAGGCAACAGACATAAAGATCAGGCGCGCAAGGCTCTGCCATGTTCCGTGCATTGTTCTGCTCGTTTCGCTCACTTCGCTCGCCTTTGCCGCGATGAGCAGCTATTACAGTTTCGGGCTGCAGAGCTCCCGGTTCTGCGGCTGACATCTCTTTCACGCGCAAAACTCGAAGAACCCTGAAAATCCCTGGGTCCAGCTTCGTCACCGTCATTGGCAGCAGAGCTCTAACCATGACACCACACAGGATGGGAATCAGGACAATCTCCACAGCAGACCTCTTGACGCAAACGTATGCAACCGGAGATCATTCGAAATTGAGATCACCTCAGGCCAGAACTTCAGAAGGCCCAGGGTGTCCACTGGCACGATGGCCCCCACGTAGACTTCGGCAACCAGAGGAGTGCAAACGACCTCATCAAGACTTCTCCTGCTCTTAAACGGGTTCCAACTCCAGGATGCCTCTCGCTTGCATCCTCATGCATCTTTTAGACGCAGTGACTGCTCCAATTGTTGTCGTAATGGTCATCAACACCGACAGCGCGACGTCGCCACCGGCGAGCAGGGCGAAGAGGTTCGAGGCCGAGCCTGCAGAGAGAAAGAGGAGATAAGACTACACACAGAAACGTATTCTATACGTATATACACATATGCACACACACACACACGCACACAGAGACAGACTTACTTCTCATCGCTTCTCCCTTCACGAGCGCCTCCGTTCACGCCGCCCATGAGGACCATGCCGACGGTGAAGTCCTGGCCATGTTTCAGAGCCGTGAGTTGAGTGGCCTTGGGCCTTGGGAGGGGCCTGGCCAAGGTTCAGGACCTGGCTGATGAGCAAAGCCACTGCCGGCAAGACCTGGGCGCCGGGCGCCCACTTCGCCCGAAGCAGAGCCCGGAGCCTCCCCGGAGCTCCCCCTGCAGCTAGGCGGCCGCGAAGCAAACCTTGTCTGCTTGTCTTTCCGGAATCTCCCATATTCACACAGCTCCGGTGGCTGCCGAGCGGCCAAGAAGTTCACTGAGAGCGGCCGAACTTTTAAGAAGCAAGCTTTGAAGTCCTCGCAGAATGGCTGCAATTGCGCACGGAATCGTGACGACTGCATTGGATGGGTCTCCTCTGGATGAGCCGTGGTCGCCATCATAAACACGAGATTCACTAACCTCGGGTTCGAGTCAGACGGTCAAGGACTCCTGAACTTCCGATACTCATCACACCAATGGCAGGACAGGGAGCAATGCTCGGCTGATCCGCGGGCTGACCCACCTAGGGGACCAGACTAAACATTCAGTTGCGGAGATGGTATGGGGCCTGTCTTGGGAAATTTGTCGGGTCTCTAAATTCGCATGTCTTTGGTCGAAGCTCACACCCCATTCCACTCATTCCACAGGCAAACGGTAAGATGCCCTCTGCGTGCTACCACGCTTTGCATTGCACCCCTTCATGCCCAATCTGACACAGGCGTTTATTCAACACAAGAGGGAGCATGAAAACCGGTCATCAATCTGGTTGACCCCTAACAGATAATGTTCTTGCTCGTCTCGCTTTACGGAAAATCAAAAGCACCGTTGGTTTCACTCGTCCTTTTGCCACCACCTTACCTTCGTGAGGACGTGTTTCCTCTTCACCCAAGATGGGTTTTCAGCATGGACTCTTGGCAGAGGGGCGAGAATAGCCAGGGATGGCTGAGCGCCAAGGCGGCCAAGGCTGCCATCCTGCCAACGCTTCGAAGAGTGATGGCTCCCATCTAAGGCACACGAACTGGGGACAGGACCAGAGGGAGAAGTAGTCGGCGAAGACCGAGCCACCGCCATCGGCTTTCCGTGCGGGCGGCATTAGCACAGCAGCAGCGCGGTGGTGAGAGCTAGTTAAGAAACGGCGGACGTTAGGACATAAAAGGCGCGGGTCGCTTCAGCCCAGCCTTGAAGGGGGTGGAGAAGAGTCTGTGTCATGCATGTAAGCAGATATGTAGTATGTGTGTATGGATACATTTATGTATATACATACAATTTCATACAATACATACAGAAACAGATAGTTGGGGACTGATGGCATATCTCTGGGCATGACGTTCCATTGCGTGAGAGATGAGTCTAGGAATCTGATCTAATCTAAGTAATCTAAGCCTTCATTTGCAAGCTCAGCTTGTGAGCCCGAAGCGAGCAGGACCGAGATGCTGCGAGCCGGAGGACGTAGAACCTTAAGCTTTCATGAACCATGTCGCGGAAGGAAGTGGAGGTTCTGCTAATCCACGGCACGGGTTGGTTTGAGTTTGCCCAAGGCTCCTTCGAAGGCCTGCGGATCTTGTCCCAGGAGCTCTGCTAGATCCAGCGCCACATCCTCCAGGGAGTGTCTGTGTAGGCGCTCAACAAGGCCTTTTAGTTTGTAGCTGCGAGTCTTTAGATGCCACAGTCACAGGATGAATCCCATTCGACTGCATGTAGTTCCACCATGCATGCGCCAGCTTCCAAGCTCGTGTTTCCAATCTGCATGAGTCGGTGCGGCACGTCAGCCACTGATGGCAGCTCGCGTTAAAGACGACACTAGATCATTTGGTGTCTTTCTCCTTTGGTCTCCTGTTTGGCATGCTCGTCGTCTGCTGCAGACTCCTCTGCATCCTGCTCCTGAGCAGAGCGCTAGAGACAAGCTGTGTCACCGAAACGCTCAAGGGGAATCAAGAAGCGGTCGCCAGGCCCCGCGGCTCCACAACAAACTCTCTCAGTTCTAGGCCGAAGCGCAACCCTCAAAGCTCGTGTCGCCAGCCGCAGCCGAACTTTCGCAGCATCGGCGCGCTGACCCCTGGGGAGCAAAGCGCTCACCACCTTGTATCAGCGAAAATCAAGGCGGAAGCCTAAGTTTGTGTGAGCGCATGCAGCACACCTTAGCACAATTGCTAAGGCAAGGGCTGCCCGCGCTGTCAGCATGGCACGCTGCGTTGGTGATGTGATAACAGTGGTGTGCAACGCCTCCGATGTCTAAGCACCATTGAGCGCAACTCACTGCGAAGCAGCTGCTGCCTGCAACCTTTTCAAAATTTTCTCTCTCGCGGATCGCAGAAGGTCTGCTTCGGGGCTCTGGGCTGGTCGGTTACCAGAACGGTCTTAGAGTCTTCTCACTAGCCAATACATGGCTTCTGTGCTTCTGGATGAGAAATGCTCCAACCTGCTGGACATCTTCATCGCCATCGTCATCGAAGTCGACAACAGCTGTGGCGGTCTGCCTTGGACTCTGGACGCGCAAGAAAGCTTGCGCAACGTGGGCAAGTTGTTCAACTGTGTCAAACTGGGATGCTCCGCAAGCCAGCTCTCCAGCCGCCGCCCGACGGCGAAGGCCTGCAGCGAGACCGCTGTAGCGCACCACGAATCTCCATAATTACCTGCGCTCGGCTACTGAAGCCAACCGTCTGGAATGACGTGGCATCTCTGTGAGGACGTGTGGCCAACTCTGCCGCATCGCCTCGTCCGCTCCTCTGGCAGTGAGCTGGCCCCAGACCTCCTCAAGAAAAGAAATATGGATACCTGCTAGTAACGCTAGTATCTAGTATGAGTCATGATGCCCGTGCACCCTCGGAGCCCCGCTTCCTCAGCCTCTCGGCGCGGTCGGCGGGCTCCTGGAAACGCCGGGAGAAAGATGTGGAACAGACTGTTGCGACCCCGGGGCCTTGTGACTACAGGGCTGGAGGCTGGAACTACAGAGCTCAGAGATGCCGAACCTTCGCCGTTTCACGACTGCGCAGCATCTGGAAAGGACGGGTCGCTGACCTTCCCCGGTCTCGGATAGCTAATTGCCGCGAGGGCGTAAACTAGCAAGAGCCTAGGGCATGGGCGGGTCCTTCCTGTTGTGGCTCTCCCTGTGTCAAACGTCGCAGTAACGATGGAGTAGGAAGCGTCGAGCGCCAGAAACCTTCTGACCTCCAAGATGCGGCGGCCGTGACAGTACTGATCAGTGCTCAGTGCTGCAATGTGGTGGTAACGACTGATCAGCATCGTAATCGTACAGAAGGCATGCAGGACCCGTCTCAAGTGAGCACTATCATGAGCATCAGCGAGCTTTGTAAGAAGTCTAAGCAGAGTTCCTCGAGGGCCCAGCTCCAGTGGCAGCAGCGGTGTGCGTGCACCGCCCCGGAGCAGCAGCGACGAGTGCACGAGTCTCAAATGACCCTGCCTTAGGACGGGGCTGTTAGCCACTCCCATGCAACGAGGATGATTGACTTGCAATCCAGGCCACACTGTAGAAGCGGCCCTTGTACCCCTGGCGGACAGCCAGAAATAGGACCCTTCGAGCAACTCAGAACTGCTGAAGTATTGACAATATGGTCGACGGGAGCCTCACACGTAACGGACAATGTAACGACTGCTGCATTTGAGTCCGAACACAAACACCTACGTACTCATGCCTGTCCCGCAGCTGAAGGAGCACCGTGCTACCGCCAAGTCGTGCGCATGTTCTGCGTTTGCTCCGGTGAATGAACGCGGCTGAGCCGCTGAGCTGTACAGTACTGTATTGAGTATTCCTATGCCTTGGCGGTCGCAGCAGCAGCGCTTGGCTGGCCATGGAAGCATGACGCACTACGAATAGCAGTTTAGTGTCGTTGTCCATGAACCAGTCTAGTCCCTATCGTGACATCGACAGAGGCCCTTAAGGTCTGCGCGATCGGAACAACCCTGCAGATTGAAGAGGCCCTACCGGCTACGAGCCATGTGCATCTAAATGATGCGTGGATCCACGTGGCAAACAGGGTACGTCGAAGCCATAATTACTGTACCTGGCCTACGATCCTGGTACTCTCTTTTGCATGCTTACCATGAACCCATCGGGATACAAGCACTCTGAGCTTGCACGCCGGTTTCGGTTGCTCTTTGGGTGGATGCTTCAATCCCACAAACCTGCCAACGAAACATCGCTGCATTCCATGCAGCCATGCACAGGCACACTTGCCACGGTCCATCGTGCGATCAAGAGGCTGTCTCACATCGACCTTGGAGTTCGGATCCTGGCAGCGGGTGGCAGCTTGGACTGGAATCTGTCCAGAAGTCTCAGCTTTTCAGCACATGCAAGGTCGACTCTTTGCTTGGCCCACTTCACCGTGATGGGATCGTCAAAGGTCCGTGATACCTGGTGGGAGCGAAAGCGTTGTGATGAATGTGGCATGAGAATCCCAAAGCGACCGCTGCTACGCACAAGCAGCTGAAGCAAAGGTGAAGTGATGCTGGGATCCATTGACTGCTTTTGTCCACGCAGAGTGCACGACCACTTAAGCCAGCTTGTGCTCACTCCGGGGTGAAGTCGTGACCGGCAGCGTCACTGGATCTCGGTGTGCAGTTGTCGAGCTTGGCCTGTCAAGGCCGACACACTTTTGTGCAGTCTTTTGGCTTCCCTGGGTCCGAGCATACCTGCGTCGCCGCTGCATCCCGGTAGTCCAACTAGTCCTCAGCAGCTGCACTGTTTCAACAAGCCCCTGCTGGGAGCAGCTTGGAAGCCAATTCCGGGATTGGTCTTGTCGCTTGCCTCCTCTCCGCCCAAGGCTGCGAAGGCGCGAGCCTTCAAAGCCAAGTTACTTCGCTGAAAAGCTTTGCTTCCATTTTGCAGGACTGCGCTACACGATTGCATCACTGCGAAAGTACGGCCAAGCGGGCGACACACACGACAAGGCCCACGCTACATGCGCAGGCATGGCCGGTAACTTTGTGGGTGTGCCCGCACGACTCGTGGAGGACTTCCTTGCAGTGGTATAGAACTGCATCGAAGAGACCATGCAATGCTTGGGAACCGGATTAGCTCGGACTGCGTCCTGGATCGATTCTGTGATCGCTCACGCGGCTCGCGTCCAGCTGGGCCCGGTGACCGAGATGGCGTCCTCGCATCATGCTCAACCTGTGATTGATGTCGCTCTCGACAAAACCCCGAAGCCTCAGGCGTGCCGCCCTGAACCGAGCAGTCCGAATCGGAGGTGGTGTGGCAACACGGCTTCCCGGCATGGGCGTGGCACATGGCGACACGCTTCGAGAGACTCGAGGCAAAGCGAAACCTGCATCAAAGCTGGGTTGGCTCAAGCTACTGAGTCGCATATAGTCGCATGATATGAGCTACCACAGAAATTAGTGGGTTACTGCTATTTAAAGGTATGGGTTATCGCTTTGGGGGGCCCCATCGTTTTGCGGGACTTGCAACCAGGTAGTAGTAGTAGTAGTAGTAGTAGTAGTAGCAGCAGCAGTAGTAGTAGTAGGAGGCTGGGAGGCTGGGAGGCTTCCGGGCACCTGAAGGCTACTTTGCGGGTATCGTCAGGGTATCTTTTGGGGTATCGATCTGGAACGGTATACAAAATGCTATTTCGAGCCACTCGGACCTGCAATTCCAAGTGAACCCTCTCGACCGATACAGAGACACAGAGAGAGAGAGAGAGAGAATGTGTATGTGTAAAACCCAACACCACACGAAACCTTACAAGCCTCCACAACCTCAACGCCTGTCCACGAGTAGAGCTTGAACCCGAAGCTTAGCGAGCACATCTGACACCCACAGCACAAGTGACGGTATCGCATTTGGGGCGGGCCTATCGATT